CATCCGGAGAAAAACATGGTTTGAAAGGATACATGCACCCCAATGTTCATTGCAGCACTGTTTACAATACCCAAGACATGGAAGACATAAATGTCTATCAACAGATGAATGGATAAAGAAGATATGGTACATATATACAGTGGCATATTACTCAGCCATTAAAAAGAATGAAATAATGCCATTTGCAGCAACATGGATGGACCTGGATATTATCATACTAAGTGAAATAAATCAGACAGAGAAAGACAAATATCATGATATCGCATATATGTGCAATCTAAAAAAATGGTACAATTGAACTTATTTACAAAACAGACTCACAGGCTAAGAGAAGGAACTTACGGTTACCAGGTGGAAGGGTGGTGGGGAGGGATATATTGGGAGTTTGGGATTGACATGTACACACTGCTATATTTAAAATAAAATGCCTTACCATGAAACAATGTAAAATGTATGTGCTAAAAGCTATAAAGCATTGTTGAAAGAAATTAAAGATCTGAAAACATCTTATGTTCATAGATGAGCAGACTTAACATTAAGACAGCAATATTCTCCAAACTGATTTATAGATATGCAATCCCTATCAGAATCCTAGCTGTCTTATTGGTCAAAAAACCCACAAAATTGATAAATCTGATCCTAAAATTCACATGGAATTGCAAGGGTCCCATAACAGCCAAAACAATCTTAAAAAAGAAGAACAAAGTTGCAGCACTCACACTTCCTGATTTCAAACTAGCTACAAAGCAATGGTAATCAAGACAGTGTGGTTCTAGAACAAGGATAGAGATACAGATCAATGGAACAGAATCAGAAGTCCATAAATAAACCATCTGATTTTCATCAAGGGTGCCAAGACCATTTAATAGGGGAAAAAAATCATCTCTCCAACAAATGGTGCTGGAACAACTGGCTAAACACATGCAAAAGAATGAGGTTAATTAAATTAACTTCATTTAAATTAACTTCATTAAATTAATTAAATTAACTTCACATTTAATTAAAAATTAACTCAAAACAGATGAAATACTTAAATGTAAGAACTAGAAGTATAAACCTCTTAAAACAAAACAGAGGGGTAAATCTTCACAACCTTGGATTTGGCAAAGGATTCTTAAATATGACACCAACAGCATAGGCAACAAATGGAAAAAACAGATAGAATAGACTTCATCAAAATAAAAAAATTTGTGTGGCAAAAGACACCATTAAGAAAATGAAGAGACAACTACAGAGTGAGAGAAAATACTTGCAAATATATACCTAATAAGGAATTTGTATCTAGAGTATATGAAGAATTCTTACAATTTAATAATAAAAGCCAATGTAATTTAAAAATGGGCTATGGGGCTTCCCTGGTGGCGCAGTGCTTGAGAGTCCGCCTGCCGATGCAGGAGACGCGGGTTCGTGCCCCGTTTCGGGAAGATCCCACATGCCGCGGAGCGGCTGGGCCCGTGAGCCATGGCCGCTGAGCCTGCGCGTCCGGAGCCTGTGCTCCGCAAATGGGAGAGGCCACAACAGTGAGAGGCCCGCATAACGCAAGGAAAAAAAAAAATAAATAAATAAAAATAAAAATGGGCTATGGATCTGAACAGACATTTCTCCAAGGAAGATATATAAGCACAATAAGCACATAAAAGATCAACAATGAAGTTCAACAATCATTAGTCATCAAGGAAATGCAAATTAAACCCATAATGAGATACGACTTCACACCCATTAGGACAACCAGAATCCAAAAGTCAGATAATAACAAGTCTTGGTGAGGAGAAATTTGTAACTCTCATACTCTGCTGGTGGGAAAGTAAAATGATGCAGACACTTTGAAAAACAGTCCGGCATTTCCTTAAAAAACTCGACATGGGGCTTCCCTGGTGGCACAGTGGTTGAGAGTCTGGCTGCCGATACAGGGGACACAGGTTCGTACCCCGGTCCGGGAAGATCCCACATGCCGCGGAGTGGCTGGGCCTGTGAGCCATGGCCGCTGAGCCTGCTCGTCCGGAGCCTGTGCTCCGCAACGGCAGAGGCCACAACAGTGAGAGACCCGCGTACCGCAAAAAGTAAAAACAAAAAAAAATTCGACATGGAGTTACCATATGACCCACAATTTCAAATCCTAGGTACATACCCAAAAGAAATAAAGACACATGTCCACAGTAAAATGTGTATACAAATGTTCACAGCAGTATTATTCATAATAGCCAAAAAGTGGAAACAATCAAAATGTCCATCAACTAATGAATGGGTAAATAAAATGTGGTATAACCATAAAATGGATATTATACAGCCAAAAAAGATAAAGTACCGATACATGCTGCAACACGGATGAATCTTGAAAATAGTTAAGTGAGATAAATCAGTCCCAAAGGACCAGATATTGCATAATTCCACCTATATGAAATGTCCAGAATAGGCAAATCCAGAGAAAATGAAAGTAGATTGGTGTTTGCCTAGGCCTGGAAGGGTTGGGAGGAAATGGGGAGTGACTGCTAATGAGCACAGGATTTCTTTTTGGGGTGATGAAAATGTTCTAAAATTGAATGTGGTAATGGTTGCATGACTGTAAATATACTAAAAACCACTGAATTGTACACTTTAAATCTGTCAATTGTATGGTATGTGAATCATATCTTTAAAAGAGCTGTCATTTAAAAAGGCTAGATTAAACTAAGTAGATATACTTTTGCGTAATAAAACTATTAAAAATGCAAGAAACTGATTATAATAAAAGTCAAGGGACTTCCCTGGTGGCGCAGTGGTTAAGAATCTGCCTGCCAAGGCAGGGGACACAGGTTCGAGCCCTGATCCGGGAAGATCCCACGTGCCGTGGAGCAGTGAAGCCCGTGCGCCACAACTACTGAGCCTGTGCTCTAGAGCCTGTGAGCCACAACTACTGAGCCCATGTGCCTAGAGCCCATGCTCTGCAACAAGAGAAGCCACCACAGTGAGAAGCCCGTGCACTGCAATGAAGAGTAGCGCCCGCTCACTACAACTAGAGAAAGCCCGTGCGCAGCCATGAAGACCCAACGCAGCCAAAAATAAATAAATAAATCTTTTTTTTTTTAAGTCAATATCATGGCTACTTTTGAGGTTAGAAAGAGTATTGTAAGTGGAATAGGGCACATAGAGGGTTTTCTGGGGTAGCCTGCAAAATTCTATTTTTCCATCTGGTGCTGGAAGTATACATTTGTTGTGTGAGCTTTTCTTGTATCTGTGTTTTATTTTACATGTTTTAAAATGTAAAGATGTTAAAATTTAACATGTTTTAAAAACTCACTAGCAAATTTATTTCAAAACTCAATGTGAAGCCTTGCATTAGAATCCAAACTGACTATATACAAGGCATCAATTTTGGCTCTCTAGAATACAAGAGATTACACCTATCCTCAAGGAATTTATCTTTCAGCAAGAAGAATATTTTAAAAAGAGGTAGATAGAACTAGGCCATATTATATATTAACTGGCACAAAATTTACATATAATGTACAATAGGATTTAGAGAAGGATATGATTTGGGGGCAAGGGATAGGAATAAGGGGGTACATCAGGAAAGGAATTTTAGTAAAATATCACAAACAGGGTAAAACTGGGAGAGATCTTACAGAGGCTACATTGATTGAGCATTTACTGTTTTTTCATTTTTCTCATTCATTAAATCATTTAATCCTCACAATAAACCTATGAAACTGGTTCCATTATTATTTCCATTATACAGATAAAGTAACTGAGGCACAGAGGTGGTCTGCATATGGTATCAGTGATAAGTACAGTTGAAAACATACCCTGGATAGACTTTGGGTAAATTAGTTTACTTTTCTTAGTAAACTTACTCACTTTCTTACTTTTTTAGTGTCTTACTCACTACCTGCCTTAGTGTGTCGTCTTATTTGAAATGGGGATAAAATACTAGCACCTTCATCAGAGGGTTGTTGTGAAAATTAGATAATTTAATGCATGTAAAGCATTTAGAACAGCTTCTAGCTTTAAAATAAGTACTTAATGATGTTAGATTTTTTTTAAATAAATTTATTTATTTATTTACTTATTTATGGCTGCATTGGGTCTTTGTTGATGCACGTGGGCTTTCTCTCTAGTTGCGGTGAGCGAGAGCTCCTCTTCATTGCCATGCACAGGCTTCTCATGGCGGTGGCTTCTCTTGTTGCAGAGCACAGGCTCTAGGAGTGCGGGCTTCAGTAGCTGTGGCACGCGGGCTCAGTAGTTGTGGCTCGCAGGCTCTAGAGCACAGGCTCTGTAGTTGTGGTGCACAGGATTAGTTGCTCTGCGGCACGTGGGATCTTCCCGGACCAGGGCTTGAACCCGTGTCCCCTGTATTGGCAGGCAGATTCTTAACCACTGCACCACCAGGTCAGCCCCGATGTTAGATATTATTATAATAACAGAACAATGGCTTCTAGGAAAAGCATGTGAGAATTATCCCCACTCCCATTTCTTGTATTCAGTTGTACAACTTGGTCCCTTTGTTCTTCAAGATTCATTATTTGTTTATTAGATTGTTGTTTCCTATACTGTTTCGCAATAGACTGAGACCTTTCTACTTTTTTGAGGCATCTAGAACAGTGCAATTTAAAAATTATTTGCCAGTCTTTGCAAAGATTGTGCCGTATTCAAGAAGCAGGAAATCTGGCAGATCCTGTGGTAACACTGGCAGAATATAGTAAATGTAGAGCCTACAGATAAGCAGAGGAGGCAATCCTGTTAAGGGTGGGGCACAGCTTAAAGCAAGCATGGATACAGCCTGAGGGGTGACTGCATAGGTCTTCTAGGGCTGGGGCCACTCAGCCCCAGAGGGCAAGCGTGGTAACGTCAGCACGCAGCAGGGCAGGTGCCAAGGGTCTCTCTGCTCTATTTTGGGGTGTCCCTTTTCTAGCCCAAACCCAGATGCAGAAGGCAGAGGGTGTCAGTAGTATGGGTGACAGATACACCAAGGGAAAAAAAGAGACGGCTAGGAAAGGCCAAGCAGGATTCCCAAATATACTTACTTTCCATAAGATGTATCTTTTAATACTAATTCTGGAGCTCTATACCAGCGTGTGGCCACATAGTCCGTATAAATGTCTCCAGGAGCTGCTAGCGTTCGTGCAAAACCAAAATCACAGAGTTTAGTAATTCCTGACTGGGATACTAAAATATTCTCAGGTTTTATATCTCGATGAATGATCTAAAAACAAACAGAAGATGCAACAGATTAAAATGAGGTTTCATTATCTAGAAAATCTCTCAACAATTACATAGAGAAAATCTAGCTAATTAAGACAGGAAAGCTATTTTCTTACCAAATGCAAATGATTAACTACACAATGCAAAAGCTAAATAGTTATATACTTTCAGTTCTTGCCCCCTCCATCATCTCCAAACAAAGCCAAGAAAACAGACATAATACTGAAAAGGTAAATCACATTCGTAAAAGGAAAAGTAATTAAAAGAACTTAATGGAAAAAGTTTAACCTTCCTTTAACCCCATGTCACACTCCAAGTACTGCTTTCTCTTTCTCTCATTTCCTTCACAGCTAAACTTCTCGAAGACATTATTTTTACTCAGTCTTCACTTTCTGTCTGACCACTCATTCACTCCTCAAGGTAATGCAATCTGTCTTCTGCTCCCACATTCAAACTGCCCTAGCCAAAGTCATCAACATCCTCGTTGCTACATCCAACACACACCCCTCAATACATATCCTACTTGGTATCTTAGTGTAAAATATATCAACCAGTCTTCTATTCCTGACTTCTGGGACCTAAAATTCCCCCGTCTCCTCCTATGGCAGTTCCTTTTTCTCTATCTGTCCGTAAATGTAGAGTTCTGGTCTTAGGCTTCTCTTCTCTTACATCTTGTTTCCTGCACAATCTCAACTACTTTTTTTTTTTTTAGCACTTTCTTCACTTGGTTATGGGAACACCATATTCTTTTGGGCTTCTTCCCATCTGTTGGCTGTTCCATCTCAATCTCACCTACTATTACAGCCTTAGTAACTATCCATAAACTGATGACTTCCGTATTTCTATTTCTATCTTTCCTGGTTTCCACTAGGAATGGAAGTGCACAAGAAGTCCCACAGGGCTGAACCACACATCCCACAAATTCAGCAAATCCAAAACTAAACGCATCATCTTTTCTCCCAAACTCATTTGTTCTCAACAGTCCTTTAGTTCAGCAAATGGAACCAACATAGACCCCATGGCTCAAGCCAGAAATCAAGGCACTTTTCTCCCTCAGGTTCCATACTCTCTCAACCTGTCTACTTCTCTCCCTAGTTCAAGTTCCCTCAGTTCTCTCATCAAAATTACTAGCTTACCAAATGGTCTCCCTGAATTCACTCTAATCCCCTCCAATCCATTGTCCACAGTGAAATCACAGTACTATTTTAAAATCACATGTATGATTATGTCACTCCTTCAAGGATTCCCTACCCCACAGGACAAATTTGAAGCTATGTAAAATGGCTGGTAAGGCCTTATAGGATTTGGTCTCTGCTCACATTCTCAATGTCCCTTCACTAGCCTATTGAATATTAGCTTCCCAATTCTCCAGGCTTGTGTCATCATTTTTTGCATTTGCTGATGCTGTTCTAACCGCCTAGAACACTTTGCTTGGCCAACTATTTCCTCAGGTCTTAGCTGAGATGTTTCTATTAGATGTTCCTTCTATATGTTCTCACATTATTCTGCACTTGCCCCTTCACAGCATTTGTCATGCTTATTATTAATTGGCTATTTACTTTTTTGTCACTCCCGTTAGACTGTAAGTTCCATGAGGGCAAGATGTATGTCTGTTTTGTTCAGGCTATATCCCCAGGGCCCAGTACAATGCCTAAAACAAAGAAGGCATTTAAAACCTTTATCAAATGTATTAAGCATATTCTCATCACCAGAAAAGTATCATGACACGAGTGAAAATATCTTGGTGACAGAAATCGGGGATCTTTCCTTTTTTATACAACTTGCTGCTATAAGCCTTTGGGGTTGGCTCTTGTTCTGCCTCACTCTTCCTCCTAAATTGCCAAATAATTAATTTAGGGTAATGAGTCACCTTAAAGGAGACATCTATAAAACTATATTAGTCCTTTTTTACTTCTACAACTTTTATTGAGTGACTACTATATGCCAGGCACTATACCAAGATCTGAGGATATAACATGAGAAAAAATAGACATGGAAAAGCACGTTAAGATACCACTTCACACATTCTGCCTACTACACATCTATCACCCTCCTCCTCAGTGCTCTAAACATGGGGGAGAAAGATTCACTCAGCTGATGTCCTAATGTTCTCACTCATTTTAACAACTAACACCGTGACTACATGCAGAACTCTATCCTTGAGAATCAAGCACTCTCTGAATCCCAACTTTTAAAATTCTGTGTTTTGACAACATCCTCCTTGGTCTTCCACAATCACTGAGACCTCTATAAACATAGTATTTCTTTCTATGTGTTTATATCTTCTTTAATTTCTCTCATCAATGTTTAATAGTTTTCAATGTATAGGTCTTATATATCTTTTGTCAGATTTTCTCTAAGTATTTTATATTTTTGATGCTGTTACAATGGTATTTTTAATTTCAATTTCTGATTGTTTGTTGCTAATACACAGAAATACAATTAATTTCAGTATACTGATTTGTATCCTACAACCTTGATAAACTTACAAATTAGTTCTCTTAACTTTGTTGTAGATTCCATAGAATTTCCTACATAGATGATCATGTCATCTGTAAATAAAGACAGTTTTACTACTCAAAAAAAAAAAAAAAGATACCACTTCACACCCACTGGAATAGCTATGATCAAAAGACAACAGGAGGATGCAGAAAAACTGGAATACATTGTTGATGGGGATGTAAAATGGTACAACCACTTTGGAAAAAGTTTGGTAGTTTCTTTAAAAAGTTGAAACATAAACTAACCATGTGATGCAGTAGTATTCTTAGCTTGTCCTATTTCTATTCCCCTCTCCCCAGCTTCTGGTAGCTTTGTAAACCAACAGCCCCCCAAATCATGGTGAAAACTAGCAGCCTAGCAGCCACCAGAGGGAGTAGAATAGGGTTGTATCTCCTCCAAAGCGCCAATCCCAGGTAATAGTCATTATTTGACATGTCTGGCAGATCACTGGAAAATCGTACTAGAAGTCTTGTCTTTACTGACCTAACTCAGAGCTGGCCCAAGCAATCAGCCTTCTTAGCAGCCACTATATAACATTATAGCCACCTGAGGAAGCTATAACAGGACAAACAACAAGCTGACCAAAATACTTAATTAAAAAGAAAGGCTGTTTAGAATGGATAAACAACAAGGTCCTAATGTATAGCACAGAGAACTATATTCAATATCTTGCATGATAAACCATAATGGAAAAGAATATAAAAAAGCATGTCTCTATGCGTATAACTGAGTCACTTTGCTGCACAGCAGAGATTGCCGCAACATTGTAAATCAACTATACTTCAATTAAAAAACAAAAGAAAGGCTGGAGTTGAAAGGTATTATAAAGTTTAAGAGCACAAATTGTGGTGAGACTAACAGGTTCAAATCCCTAATTTACCCCTTGATATTGTGAGAGTGGGGCAAGATTCATAAACATGGGTTCTTCATCTATAAATGGGAGTGAAATAAATACATATTTCCTAGTGTGGTTTTGAAGAACATGCCATTACGTATGCCTTAATATCTGTAAAACACTGAAAACATTTAAAATAGTGCCTTATGCATGCTAACTGCCATAAAAATGTTGATTACCATTATGATTCTTCTGTAAAAAAGAATTGAAGACATTCTCTGTATTCTGACATGGTGTGACCTCCAAGATATAATGTTAAGTTAAAACAAAATATGTGTGTAAAAGAAGAGAAAAAAAAGAAAGAAAGAAAGGCTGGGAGTGAGATGTCTGTAAAGGGTTTGAAAAGTTCCAACATATTCCTGAGAATCATGAAGGGTACATGCACAGCTGTGCACACACCCAGGAAAGACCTGAGATTGTCCCTACGCTCTCAAGACTGGTGGACTGTAAGGTTCTACACAAGCAGGAAGGTAAGGCTAAGGCAGAGTTGTAAACTGCCTGCCTGAACATTGAAGACATGGCCCAACACAGATAAAGAGCCCTCAGTAAATATGGCTGAGAGATTTACTGGTTTCAAGAATTGAAGGAAATTTCTGTCCAAACCTTAGCTGACCACTAAACTAACTGAGCAGAGATTTTAGTGGTCACACGTGATAAAGAATTCAGACTTCACAGAATTAGTTCAGCAAAGAAACTAAACAAATAGCAAAAACTACAAACCCTGATAGGAAATTCTGACTTCCAGAATTACCACATATTATTTTAAATGTCCAGTTTTCAACAAAAAATTACAAATGTCCAAATAAAATCCCCCCAAATAGGTGTGCAAAGAAACAAATATGGCCACGCACAGGAAAAAAAAAAAAGTCAATTAAGAAGCTTTCCCTGAAGAAGCCCAAACATTGAAGCCACTAGATAGACTATAATTGGCTATTTTAAATATGTTCAAGGTTAAAGGAAACCATGTCTAAAGAACTAAAGTATGAACACGTCTCACCAAATAAAGGATATCAATAAAGAGAAAGAAATGATTTTTAAAAAAACCACTATCGAGGAGGCAAAAAGGCAATCCACGGAATGGGAGAAAATATTTGCAAATCATGTATCTGATAAGGATCTAGTATCCAAAATACAGAAAACACAACTCGACAATAGAAAAACAAATAACCCTATTTAAATATGGGCAAAGGACTTGAAGAGACATTTCTTCAAAGAAGATATATACATATAAACTTGCCTATTCTGGATTTTTCATTTAAATGGAATTTATACTTATGTCTTTTGCATTTTGACTTTTTTTCATTCAACATAATGTTCTCAAGGTTCACTCATTTTGTAGCACGTATCAGTACTTCATTCCTTTTTGTGGTTGAATAAATCCCACTGTAGGGTTGTACCTCATTTTGTTTATCCATTCATCAGCTAATATACATTTGAGTTGTTTCCACTTTTTGGCTACTTTGAATAATGCTGCTATGAACATTCCTGGGCAGGTTTCTATGTGAACATATGTTATCAGTTCTCTTGGGTAGATACCTAGGTGTAAATGTGCTGGGTCATATGGTAATTCTATGTTTAACTTTTCAAGGAACTGCCAAGCTGTTTTCCATAGCAGCTGCACCATTTTACATTACCACCAGCAGTGTATGAGGGTTCCAATTTCTCTACTTCCTTGCCAACATTCATTCTTGTCTGTTTTTTAAATTACAGCTAGACTACTGGGTGTGAAATGGTATCTCATTGTGATTTTGATATGCATTACCATAATGACTCAGGATATTGAGCATCATTTCATGTGCTATCAGCCATTTTTATATCTTCTTTGGAGAAATGTCTATTGAGTCCTTTGCCCATTTTTAAATTGGGTTGTCTTTTTATGTTGAATTGTATTTTACATATCCTGGATACTAGTTGCTTATCAGATATATGATTTGCAAATATTTTCTCCCATTGTGTGAACTGTCTTTTTACTTTCTTGATGGTGTCCTTTGATGCACAAAGTTTTTCATTTTGATGAAGTCCAATTTGGCTTTTTCTTTGATTGCTTTTGATGCATTAATACATGATCACACAGATTTACACCTATGTTTTCTTCTGAGTTTTATAGTTTTAGCTCTTATGTTTAGGTTTTTGATCCATTTCAACTTAATTTTTGTATATGGTGTGAACTATCAGACTTTGGATTCAGTGAGTTTAATTCTCCTTTATTTTGTAGTGAAATGCTCCAAAATTACACAGAACTCCATATTACAATGATTTATAATAACTCTGCTCCATATGCTTGAATTTTTTTTTTTTTTTTTTTTTCCACTGCACCATGCAGCTTGTGCCATCTTAGTTCCCCGACCAGGGATTGAACCCTGGCCCTTGGCAGTGAAAGCAGAGTTCTAACCACTGGACCACCAGGGAATTCCCCTTGAATTTTTTTGACTATTGATTCACTTTCTTTGTTAGTTTTAAGATCATTTATATTTTTTTCCATTTTGATTCCATTAAGGCATTTTTGTTTGTTTTAGTGAACTATTGTTGACTTACAATATTGTGTTAGTTTCAGATGTACAGCAAAGTGATTCAGTTACATACTTTTTTTTCAGATTATTTTCCATTATAGGTTATTACAAGATATTGAATATAGTTCCCTGTGCTATACAGTAAATCTTTGTTGTTTACCTATTTTACATATAGTAGTTTGTTATCTGTCAATCCCATACTCCCAATTTATCCCTCCCTCCCTTTCCCCTTTGGTAACTATAGTATGTTTTCTACGTCTGTGAGCCTGTTTCTGTTTCGTATATAGATTCATTAGTATTATTTTTTAGATCCCACACATAAGTGATATCATATATTTGTCTTTCTCTGACTTATTTAACTTAGTATGATACTCTCTAGGTCCATCCATGTTGCTGCAAATGGCAATACCTCATCCTTTTTATGGCTTAATAATATTATATATATATCTATTTAGATATATATATATATATATATATATATATATTTAGATATATATATATATATATATATATATATCATCTTCCTAAACAAATCATCTGTTGATAGACACTTGGGTTGTTTCCCTATGTGCTTGAATTTAAACACCCATATAAGTTCAAAATTGTTACTTTAGTTTTACCTCCTCTTTGAAGTTTTCTACTCTCAGTCTACCCCATACTGGTGTCTCCCATTATTCAAGAAATATATTTAAAGTCTACTACAGGCAAGACACTATAGGGATACAGATAAAATATAACTATTCCTGACTCCTTATCTGCACTATTTAATGAGCACTTAAAACACACCTAGTGTTAAACACTACCTACTACCTAATTTCATCTTTATAAAAAATCTGTGAGGTACTAGAGTATCATTTTACAGATGAGGAAAATGAAGTTCAGAGAGGTTAGATAACTTCCTGGGGCCACAGAGTAATGGGGCTACCACCTTTCATTGTGCAAGTGTGAACTCCACAAGTTGTGTGGTTATCCATACATAAGCTGGTGGGTGAAAATCCAGGACAGTCTGATTCCAAGGACTGTGTGCTCTTAACTATTACATTATACTGCCCCCCCTCCCATGGATCCAGTCGGCAAGGAAATTACAATCTGAATTTCCAGTTGCTATCACAACCACATTTTTCAAAGCTGCAACATGAGATGCAGTATTACCAAGACAGCAAATTAGAAATTAAGGTATCTGAAAAAGCCTAGAGTATATAGATGTTATGCCTATATCACTTACTAATAAAACTATTTTTGAGGCTTGTACTGTTATTTCACAAACATACATCTAACTTTACAGAAAGTAAAGCTCATGTTGGGAACAAAGTATGTCCATAAAAACCTGCTGAGATAAACATTAACTAAACAATGCTAAAAGGCAGCACTAAAAATCAACAGTTGATCTTCTTTCCTTTCTTGACTTAAATGACAAGGCTCTACACCCCTCAGCCATTTTATTTCTCTCTTTTCTTTACCTAAAGGCATCTACCTTCTCTTGCTATTCCCCTGGCCTAGTTTCCAGTTCCTACCTCCAAACCTCCCTTCATCTGAGCTGGCTTGATTTTCGATGTTTTAATGTACTTTCATTAATAAAAGATGCCCCAGTTGACTGCTGATTCCTCTATACCTCCTTTAGCATCCCATAGTTGGTCTGCCCTATAGTTATAATTATTATGCGTTCAATACGTTTTTTGGTTCTGCAACTGAATTATAAGGTAGTAACTCCCCTGATCTTCTCTCCGTTTTCAGGATGTCAATTAATACTGTCCAGAAAAATAATTTTAACAACTTTCATAAAAACAGAACAATGTTTAAAGGGCACTTACAATTCATATTCATCCTACAGTTTGGCTTATTTTTAAGCACTTACATTATTTTTTTTAACATCTTTATTAGAGTATAATAGCTTTACATTGTTGTGTTAGTTTCTGCTGTATAACAAAGTGAATCAGCTATACGTATCCATATATCCCCATATCCCCTCCCTCTTGCGTCTCCCTCCCACCCTCCCTATCCCACCCCTCTAGGTGGTCACAAAGCACAGAGCTGATCTCCCTGTGCTATGCGGCTGCTTCCCACTAGCTATTTTACACTTGGTAGTGTATATATGTCAATGCCACTCTCTCACTTCATCCCAGAAGCACTTACATTATTATTGTGAAGATATTCAATTGCTCGAAGAATCTGGAAGAGGTATTTTCTAAGTCGTTTACTCTCTAGTCCATGACAATAATGTTGTAACTCATCTAATACTGTGTGGTCAATAAATTCAAACACCAAATGAATTTTCTTTTTCTGTCTAAAAACTTCAATCAGATTCACCAGGTTTTCATGACGAAATTGCTATTAACAAGAGAAATGGATTTTTAGTATTTCATGCACAATAATTTGCACATATAAGACCCATATAATTTTAAAAAGAAGAAATGTTCTCTGCTTCTTTTCCTCCATGCCTTTCAATAAAAATTTCTCAACTGATTTGCTTACATTCCTATTTTTTTAAATGTTAATCTATTTAATAATTAATATTTATAGAACAGAGGGAGATGTATTGCTTTACTTCAAGTTGACATTTGGTTGCCTACTAAAATAATTCAGTTAATGTACTAAAATGTAACTTGGTATTCTGCTAAGAGATATCTCCCTATATTTTAAATTGGTTTGTGATTAAAAGGTCCTTATGATTTCAAATGAGCATGGATTCCAGTGCCACTGAGCATGTAATCTGAATTTACAGAAGTTAATTACTCTCTGAGATTTGTCCTGAACTCTCAAGAGTAAAATATAAGTTCCAGGTGGACGTTATAAATTCACCACACTGTAACAAAAGGGTATCAAAATATCCAGAAATTTTCATATATGTGAGATACCAATTTATATCCATAGGAACTCTACATACATATACAATTACTTGTGGGTACATTTTTGTTCATTGTCTGTAATATTCTATTAAGCAACCAAACACATTTTTAGACTGGTAAGCACTCACTGTCAAGATAATTTCAAAATGTCAAAAATGGCATGTATCAGCTTAGAAAACAAAAGAGATTTATCATTTTATGCTGTTTATTCTATTTTTTAACACACTGACTTAATTACAATCAATTCTCAAATATTTAACTTTTTCAAATTACCAAAAATATTTATTCATTTGGCTAAAAATTAAGGGGTGTATTTTTGATGTTGGATTCATCAAAAAGCTATACTTGTAAGAAAAAGTCTGCCTTTATTCCAATGGCACAACATCCATTTTTCTACTTATCTGTACTAATACATAGACTAAATTCCTCAAGACATGACTAATAGAAAAACATGCCAAAATATAATGCCAGATTCCTTTCCTATTTTTGCTCCCAATCCAATTTCCCTGGTTGGTGGGGTGCCAGAGTGCTGCAGCAACAACATGCTGGCAGTAGCAAAAAAAAAAAAAAGACTGCCTTTAGACACTATAATATTAATCCTTCAACTAAGGAGAATTACTGGTTTCTTGACCAGTCTTAATTTTAAAGGCAAAAGCAGATAAGGGTGAATGCAAGTTAATAAGCATTAAGGAACATCCATCCAGGGGTAAGGAATCAGTGACTTTCTCAGATAAACCATAAAACCACTAGAAATACTCCATTATCCTTTTTCAGGTTGTTTACTTTTGTTTTCCTTTATAAATAGAAAACTTTTCTACAGATATTCTCACTAATTACTCTAACTGTAATTTATTTAATGAAATTCTAGCAGATAAAACTTTAGTTCTAATTAAGTCATTATGGCAGTGTTTTTAGACTAAGAATGTTAACTAATCCAAGAAATCTCTCGTGGAATTAGATCTGATGAAACTAAAAATTCTACAAGAAATAAGCCAATGAGAAAAAATAGTTAAGCTATCTCTAAATAGTTTGCATAATAGTTGTAATAGTACATTTTCAAATTCATCTCTGTGTTCTTGCCACATATTGGTTATTTTTACAAAACAATTAAGAAGAAAAAAATAATTAGCTTAAATGCAACAAAGGTGAAGAAAGAGCAAAAGATATTGCCTGGGAAAATGTCTCCTTCTAGTCAGAGTTTCACTTACAGTGCACAAGTTGCCTTACAGTATTATTAGTTTTAGGTCATCAGGATAAGGACAGGTATCGCTCACAAAATCACAACATCTTTACTGACTTTAACTTTCCTTTTCATTGTCTAGAAATAGAGCAGTTCCAACAATCTACACATGCCTAATATATTTCTTCTATTTAGAAAGCAAATTGATCCATTATATCTAATACAGACTTACAAACAAAGAAGAGAATATTACTTTTGTATCAGATAAAAAAGAACAAGAACAGTATCTGTTTTCTTCATCACATGTAAAAACATCTAGGCAATGAACCTTAAAGCATCTAGATAAATGCCAATAAACAAAATACATATGTATACTTATTTTTAAAATCACTAGTTTTGTACCCAATTGCCAATGAATCTTAATGCTCCTTTCTTTACACTCCTGAGGTCTTTCCACTAAGTGGACCTATCATACCTACATGAAATTCTATCTTGTCCCCTGATCTCTCCTGTTATTGTTCTCCACCTCTAAATGCCTATCATCTTTACTGCACTGTATTCCTGTCACCTCAAATTCAACATTTCTAAAACTGAACTAGTTCCCAAACCATGTCTCTTTTGGGTCTTTCATATTTCCATCAATGGTAGCAATCACTGAACCTCAAAGATACCTTTGATTCCCCTTCTGTTTCCTTCTACACTTTCATGTCTTCTTTAGTAATATATTATGTTCTAACTCTACTTTCCATTCAAATTGCTGCATTCTAGCAAGGACCCTCACATTTAACAGGATTCCTGAATTAAAAACACAACAGATCTCCCTATTTTTACTTTCTCAGTCCTCCAATCTATTCTAAAAAATAATGCTAGATTAATATTTACTGTTTCTTTACTCTGAATTCAAAACCTCGCACCTCTCACAAAATCAACTTTTGATTCCTTAGCCTAAAAGACAAGACTTTAAAACCTACCTCCAGCTTACTTCTCTAATCTCACCTCCTTCTATTTCCATATAAGAAACTCTACAGGCAAATGCACTTTGTCCTTTCTGCTCTGCTCTTTGTCCTGCCTTCAGCCTCTCTGAGCTTATGCTGTTCCCCTAACCTGGAATACAACAGTCTCTCCCTCTTTCCTAAATTCTACATACCTGTTAAGGCCGAATTCATGTTCCATTTCCTCCAAGAAACGTTCCCTACCCAACAGGACTTTGTGTTAATCACTTGGCTTTTATCATCAGCCACTTAATAGTCAGTATTATTTGTATATGCCCTCTTGTCTTTCTAATTAATAAAAGTCCTGAAGAGCAGGTACTGTCTTTTACGTCATTATAGTCACAGCATCTGGCACAAAACACTGCACAAAGCAGACATTTTTACTAAGTATTATACCTGGATATTTCTGAATAATTATTTCACAATATTTGGCATAGCTTTTGTTACATTATACATAAGAACATATATCTAGTATCACTGTAAAATTACAAAACGTACACAGTAAGGTAAGCTATGACACTTGTTCTTCTATTATATGTCCAAATACATGTTAACTGAAATATTCATTATATAATTTATTCCATAACAACTCCCCTTTTGACTTACAGAGAGCAATTAAGGTAAAAGAAGCAAACCTTTAGCAACTTTATTTCTCTCGTTGCAATTTTGTTGACAGACTTTTCTGGTTTCTCATAAAATATCTTAATGGCCACTATCTGCCCAGTATCCTTATGTTTACATTTCATGACTGTTCCATAACTTCCCTCTCCCACTTTTCCAAGGGTTTCATACATCTCCATTTTCAAGCCCAGCTTCTTTATAAAAAGAAAGGCGGGGGGGAGGAAGAAGGTTAAACATTTATACCTTTATTTATTCAAGGCGGATAATGCATTTCCACAATAAACCCATACTTAAAAATACGGAAACAGGAAAAGTAGGAATCTTTTCACAGATTCTGTTTGTCTTTGGGAACTCTGCCAGTTCGGCAGTAAGGGGTCCTTTGTGGGGCTCTGGCCCCCACCAGAACTTGGGGAGCTTCCTGCTGTCAAGATCATTCCCACCAAGAGTTAAGATTCGCTCACTACATGTCACCTATTCATCATGAGTGGGGACCCCACACGTCCAGTCATGCCCGCGTCAAATATGAGGTTCCCGAAAAGCTGCAGTCGCCAACAGGTCAGGCCTTAGGGCCCAAGAAAACCTCGGTCCCACCCGCTCCTCAAACCAGGCGTCTTAGGGTCCTGGACCAATGCCGCGTCCTTTGCCCCTCAGTCGACCTCGTCCGGGCAGCCGCCGCCGCCTCAGTCTCAGCCTCAGCCCATTCTGCAGTCCCGCCGGCCCGGCTCCGCGCAGTCTCAGCCGGGAACCAGACACAGACCCTACCTATCCAGTCAGCTCCCAACGGCCTGCTGCCATGGCAACGGTGCACCGGGCCTCTCGCTCGGGGCCTAGGGCGCAAGACCGGAAGACCGGCCAGGCCCGAACCGGAAGGAAAAAGAGGGAACTAGCAGAAAAGATTTCCTGGTGGGCATTAACTGGAAGCCTCCTTGAGGGTGTAAGTGGCGAATACGAGCTGCTGTCGATCAAACTGGGGCCACTACACAAGGTTGGTTTTGAGCGGCGATGGGGGAGGGTCGCATTTTGACGGCAGCTTGAGTGACTGCAGATCCTCTAAGGAAGGGGAACCGGCGTGGAAGTTTATCCGACCTGCGTCTTAGATGCCCCCAGGCCCGTGAATATTTGCCACTTGTGTCGGATCCTAAAAGGATGCCTGGTGTCACCAGGCAGAGATTTCTTGTAAAACGAGACTTCCAAGGAAGTCTTGTGTAATTATAGTTTTCTAAGTTACCTAGTTACGTTAATATTCCATATATCTGATTTCGACCTCAGTTGTTGACATTCATCCTTAAAACAGGGATAAAACGATTCATCAATCAAGAACATTTCTTGAACACCTCTTATATGCTTAAAACGTTTTTTTGAACTCATAGTAATCCTCCTTTTAAAAAACTCCCTTCCTACATGTAAAAACTCTAAAAGTCCCTCTTGAAAAGCAAATAATTCAGAGGGCTCCACCCCCCCCCCAAAAAAAGAGGCCTTAATATAATTGCTTAAGAATTAGACATGAGGTTCTGCTGGAGTGCCAGCCTCCAATGAATAAACTGAATATCACTGGAAGCGCCCAAGGAGTGCTGTCTTTGTTAGGGCTTTCATTTCTTTTTTTCTGTAAAAAGAAGTTAAGTGTAAGAGGCCAAATCTCACTGTGCGGCTCGGAAATAAGATAAAGCACTATTACTATCCGATAAATGCTAATCCAGTTGGTCTCACCCGACCATGCACGTTAAAATCACACCTACAGAGCTTTTTAAAAGGTCCCATCCCCAGAGATCCTGATTTAAATGAGATAGGGTAAAGGAACTGGTATTTTAAAACCTTCCTAAGTGTTTTCTATGCTGCTAAGGTTTATACTGAGAGAGGTGTGGGGGCGGAAGGAGAGGTGGTCATGGTTTTTTGCTTATCACCACCAAAATATTCAGAATTGTCTTTCCTTTTGAAAAGTTATTCAACCATGTTATAAAATACTTTCTATGTATAAGAATATCATAGTAGGGCTTCCCTGGTGGCGCAGTGGTTGAGAATCTGCCTGCTAATGCAGGGGACACGGGTTCGAGCCCTGGTCTGGGAAGATCCCACATGCTGCAGAACAACTAGGCCCGTGAGCCACAACTACTGAGCCTGCGCCTCTGGAGCCTGTGCTCCGCAACAAGAGAGGCCGCGATAGTGAGAGGCCCGCGCACCCCGATGTGGCCCCCGCTTGCCACAACTAGAGAAAGCCTTCGCACAGAAACGAAGACCCAACACAGCCAAAAGTAAATAAATAAATTAAGAATATAATTCTTTTTTTAAAAAAAAAAAAGAATATCATAGTAAATCCTACAGTGGACCCAGACTTGCTGTAAAGCACATTTATTAAATATTTGTTGTTCGCTTAATATTGACAAGGGACAAAGCATGAATCAGAGTACCTGCTGTCAGTGAGCTCACAATCTAAAGCTACAGTCTCTACAGTATAAAATTATAGCTTTAAAACTACTCTTTCTACAAATAGGTTATGGCAGGCCTGGTAACCAGGACAGCCTATGATTCTTCCTTATACAGTAAAGCTCTAGGACTTAAATGAAATCTCCTCACTTGATTTTCTCAAAAGCGTTACTTCATTTTGGAAAACCATAATCTGTAGATTTCCAAAACATAATAAATTTCTAGACAAATGACATAACGTATTTAAAAAAGAAAGTTTCTCTTTGGCATTTCACTGTAGGTAACCCTACCAGTGTGTCTTCATCCTTAGTTATAGGGAGGATAAGGACTGCTGTGGCAGGAAGGCAAAAAAAATAAGAATATTCACCTTTTTAGAGAACTACATTTGTGAATGCATGTCTATCAAGAGTTAGGCCTGGCTAACTTGATTACCAAGGCAGTTATAAAAACAAGAGAAAGAATTCAGGGATTGAAGAAAGGGAGGTACCAGCAAAGTAGAGAACGTTAACCCTTTCTGGTTCCATGAAAGTATGGGCAACACTAAATTCCTCATTCTATCTTCCTATAACACCTTGGGCTGAGGAGTTGCCCGAATGGGTTAAAAGAGCTCAGAGTTCAGACCAACAAAGCCCTGAAGAACAGAACAGAAATTAGCAGCAATAGAAGAATGGAACTCAATGACTAGAAGTACCGATGTGGCCCCCGCTTGCCACAACTAGAGAAAGCCTTCGCACAGAAACGAAGACCCAACACAGCCAAAAGTAAATAAATAAATTAAGAATATAATTCTTTTTTTAAAAAAAAAAAAGAATATCATAGTAAATCCTACAGTGGACCCAGACTTGCTGTAAAGCACATTTATTAAATATTTGTTGTTCGCTTAATATTGACAAGGGACAAAGCATGAATCAGAGTACCTGCTGTCAGTGAGCTCACAATCTAAAGCTACAGTCTCTACAGTATAAAATTATAGCTTTAAAACTACTCTTTCTACAAATAGGTTATGGCAGGCCTGGTAACCAGGACAGCCTATGATTCTTCCTTATACAGTAAAGCTCTAGGACTTAAATGAAATCTCCTCACTTGATTTTCTCAAAAGCGTTACTTCATTTTGGAAAACCATAATCTGTAGATTTCCAAAACATAATAAATTTCTAGACAAATGACATAACGTATTTAAAAAAGAAAGTTTCTCTTTGGCATTTCACTGTAGGTAACCCTACCAGTGTGTCTTCATCCTTAGTTATAGGGAGGATAAGGACTGCTGTGGCAGGAAGGCAAAAAAAATAAGAATATTCACCTTTTTAGAGAACTACATTTGTGAATGCATGTCTATCAAGAGTTAGGCCTGGCTAACTTGATTACCAAGGCAGTTATAAAAACAAGAGAAAGAATTCAGGGATTGAAGAAAGGGAGGTACCAGCAAAGTAGAGAACGTTAACCCTTTCTGGTTCCATGAAAGTATGGGCAACACTAAATTCCTCATTCTATCTTCCTATAACACCTTGGGCTGAGGAGTTGCCCGAATGGGTTAAAAGAGCTCAGAGTTCAGACCAACAAAGCCCTGAAGAACAGAACAGAAATTAGCAGCAATAGAAGAATGGAACTCAATGACTAGAAGTAATGTCAGAATCCCAATGGTCAACATCCCTGAGCCCCCTAGAGGTGGGGCGGGGGGGGGGGGGGCATTCACATGTGTGTGTGTGTGTGTGTGTGTGTGTGTGTGTGTGTGGGGGGGGGGGGGGGGGGGGGGGGGGGACATTTCAGGTAATTTACTTGCTAGTGTAGAAAACCTGAAATAACTCAGGCTAGATACATAACCCCCACCCACGTTTGCATGTTCTCTGCCCCAGATCTGAATCATAATACTAGGTTTCTCTGACAACCAACCACCTATTGATACACTCTCTTGCAATCAACCCCACATTTCCTGACAAATACAACGGTACCCTACTGTACACAAATCCAGGGACTCACACAAAACCTCAAATAAGAGGAGACCCATAAAGGAAAAACAATTCCGTAATTCTATGGGGATTGTAAACAAATATTAGATAATCTATACACACGTTATTTTATCTCTGGCCAGAATTTCTAACCCTGGAAACCCACTGCCATGCACATGCAGGATTTTTGGTGGCCCTAAGGAAGCATTTCACGGGATTTTACTTAGTATGGGCCTCAGCACTGAGCTGAGGAAAACGGAGGTCCCTTCAGTGTTCCCCACATACCAGATTTGATAAGCCATTGAGCCAACTAGGGGGCATTTTAAGTCCAAATTATTTTTGGCTGTATTTTAAAGATTTAAGAAGCAAAACAAACTATTGCTTCCTACACCACCTCATCAATTGCCGTTCATTGGACAAACTGGACGGAAAACTAATAAAGGTGTATACCACCCCTCAGCCCCATAAATTTAACTACCCGGTTCAAAGACCTGGCAGAAACTCGGGTCCAGGCGACGCTCTCACGTGATCCGTTCTAATCGCGTCATAGGAACACGTGGTTCTAGATACTTCGTCCCCTCCCCCTCAGGCGTGGATTGTTGACAACGCCGCCGGCAGTCACGTGATCTTACGTCATCCTACCTCCTTTCTCTGATATCTCTGGCCCCGGATGCGTCCCTCTCTCCCCACCCGGTTGAGCCTAAACTAGTAAAAGAGGGGGAAACTGGTGTTTCGGTTTCGGTGTTTCTTAATCACAATCTCCAGCGTGAGCACAGAGAACAATAATTGGTCGATTAGTTTAGGAAGCCAAAATGGATAGGGTCCCTGCTAAAGGGCTCCCATAACGAGCTCTCCTACGTCCCGTCGCCTTCTCCCCACCCCTCACTCTATGGTACTGGCGGAGGGCGGAGGGATCTGGAGGCGGCGGAGGGAGACGTCATTGCAGGGTTGTTTGTGCAACCTCGGCTGAGGCAGTGACCCACAGTGATTCGACCGTCGCGCCGGGGGGTGGGGGGGCTGCGCGGGACTCTTTTTTTTCAGACTGACCGCGGGGCAGCTGGGGAGCATGTCGACCCCGGCCCGGAGGAGACTTATGCGGGATTTCAAGCGGTAAGGGCCTTCATCTTCGTCTGGATGACGGCTCCTCCCCAAAGCTACGGGGCTGCAGGGCGGGGATCCGGGAACCTTCCTCTCATGACCCTAAGAGGGCCGCTGTGGGCCCAGCGGGACGGACGGAAGCCCAGTCCTAGCCCCTGTTAGCACTCTTGTTCTTGCCTATTCATTCGTCCGACGTAAGAAATATCGATACCTCCTCGCCACCCCTTCCCCCTCAAAAAGTGAAAAGATGGCCATGGGCTGTCCTAGGATTCCGTGCTGCCCACTTGTCCCAGTTGCCCGGTGCCTCGCCCTGGCGTTCAAACCTCATCCCCCGCCCCTGCACCTTGCGGTACCTCCTTTCTCTGCCTTAAAAGCAGGCCCTTGCAGAAGCCTTTCCCCCCGCTAGCTGCACCAGTTAGCTTTGTTCGATGGCCTTGTGGTCTCCTTCGAGGGCCAGGGTTGGGGCCAAATCCTCCCTCCCTCCCTCCCCATTCTTTCTGCAGTGAGGGTGGGGTCTGATGCTCTGGGGCCGGGGGTTAACCGATCCTCCGAAACCCGACTCTCTCCCCGCCCTCCTGAAAGGACCTTGAGAACTGGCTTAGAGGGCTGGGACTCGGGCTGGCAACCCCAGCTGCCAGTGTTTTCTGGAACTCAGCTCTGTGGCCTGGTGTATAAAAGCCCTATCTATAGCCTCCAAAGTCTGGGGAAATGCCGCCTTGGAGACTGGCACTAACCTGATACTCCCTGGGCCTCCTTTTGTAAAGTAGGGTTTTGTTAGGAGGTGTTGGGGTTAGTGAGGAGGAAGTGACTTTTTTACAGTTGTTTCCCGTTGATTGAATGCTTAGAAGTACGGGGAGAAAAATGACCAAGAAAACTTAGCACTACGCTCCTCTGCGCATTTTTAAGTGTTTTTCTAGGGAGACCCGCCCTGCTTGAGGCAAAATACCTAGTGTAAAAACTTAGAATGGCGGCTCAGGAAGTAATCTCTCAACTTCATTATAAACCCTTAAATGAGGCACTTGGAAGCCATTGTTTGGGGCTTTGGCCAGTTTATCATTGAGTGTATTCGTAACTTAGCCTTTATCTTTGGTGGGCGGGCTTCAAGCAGCATATCCTCTAACGCTTCTGTTCGTTGTGGCCTATTCTGCTTGAGGTTGACTAAAAAGAGCCATTCTGGGGGGTGACTAATATCAAGTATCATACCACATGGCAGTATATATATATATATATAATGTAGCATTTATTTTTTACTGAGATGACAGTCTTTAAAAGGAGATGCCCTTTTTGGTGCAGAACTCGCTTTCTACAGCTTGAAACCAGTAGATTTCAGACTAGCTCCCATGAGTGAAATTCAGATATTAAAACTTCCCAGTTCGTGGCCATTGTTACCCTGGTTTCTCACTGCAATTCTCTGCTTAATTCTGAGTTGTATACTTGGCATCTTTGGTAGCTTTCCAAGGGTCTTCGGTTGCAAGAATTTGATGATGACGAATGTTGGAAGGTAGCTTTGTATTGAGTTGCATGATCTGAGAGGTAGATTTAGTGTTGGTGCAGAGCTTTTAAAATAGGGACTGAGGGGAAAACCTAACCAAAGCTGTGATTACTTTAAAACCTATTGCTAATTGAAGCAAATGGGATAAAGTAACTCTACTGCCTAAAACTAGTTTCCTAATTAAATTGGATATACCTGTGTTTTCAGTCATTTAGTGTTTACACTGAGGTGGGTTTTTTTTGGTTTTGGTTTTGGGGGGAGGAATATTTGGTGACCATGTTGCACAAGTAGCTGTGGTTAGGACTCATGAAGTCTTTGCATGTTCACAACAGTAAAATCGTTTTTTCATTTGAGGTTTTTACTTTGTTGTTACTGTTGAAGGCAGCTCTTGAACAGATATCTTAACTTTGGTGATATTTGAAGAGGGATGACTCCAAAGCACTTTTAAGTCATGGTTTATTCCAGCTCAGCACAAGAACAAGGAAATTGATTTACTTTGTTTCTCAAAGTAGATGGTGTACAGTCCATAGGTGTTCTGTTTGGCGTTCTTAGTGGCCTTAATGTTCAACTTTTAAAATTTCTACTCTGGATTTCTAGATTGCAAGAGGACCCACCTGTGGGTGTCAGTGGCGCACCATCTGAAAACAACATCATGCAGTGGAATGCAGTTATATTTGGGTGAGTTGAAAGAAATGACAAATGGTAGATGTGGTGATTCTTTTAAGAAAAGTGAATGTATAACACGTAGGAAAGGAAGCTGAGGGATCAGGGATCTTAAAAAAACTGCAAGGTAAAAAAAAATTCTGAGAAGAGTTTCGACAGTTACATAAAATTTATGATTTTATGATCACTTTGGGCTTTACTTGATAAAAATGTCATTTGAGACTAAAGGAGAAAGATAAATTATTTTGTGGGAAATGTGCCAAGCAAATTCTTACGCTTGCGTTCTACTAGAACTGTAAAAAGGCTACGAACCAAAAATACTACAACTTCCACCATGGTAAGGATTGAAATGAAAAATGTTTCACACCTCAGTGTGAAATAACTGAATGGAGCGTTTTGAGATGCATTCTTACCTTTTACAGATAGTATATATTTTAATATATGCTTTTTAATTTAAAATTTCCGTATGGCTTTTCTTTAGTTTTCTAGAACTGGATTTTACTTTCTTTCACTCTTTAAACTAGGGTTTTGCACTAAAACTTTAAAGGAATACTTTTGTAAACAGAATTCTGAATTGCTCTTGAATCAGTTATGAGAGTCTACGTTAAAGACTAGTGGAAAAATGAGGGTAGTGTACACTTCTAATTCAGGCTGTTAGCATGCTTCTTTGAGATCCTGAATGTGCCTTGCAAGTGGTAATTAAACTTCATGTTGCTGCTTAGGAAAGGTGAAATTGGAATGTGGTAGCAAGGAAAAGATTTGGGAAAAAGAAACTGGCTTTCTTGGTGACATCAGATAAATCCAGTCGATTTGAACAAGAGCTATTGCTCTTTTGAAAAGCAGGACACTTTGGTGTCATAATTATCTTTTTTTTTTTTTTTTGCGGTACGCGGGGCTCTCACTGTTCTGGCCTCTCCCGTTGCGGAGCACACGCTCCGGACGCGCAGGCTCAGCAGCCATGGCTCACGGGCCCAGCTGCTCCGGGGCATGAGGGGTCTTCCCGGACCGGGGCATGAACCTGTGTCC